GCTCCCACCAATGCACTCGATTCATGTTTTGAGGTTTCTTTTTCATTCTGTCGGCAATTTGTGGTTTGCATGGTTCTAAAGTGAACTTCTTTTGCAAAAAAGGAAAAATATGAAACAATATGTGTATTTACTTTTGTGTATTGTTTAGTCAGTTACGCATCACGATATTTCTTACAAAATACGACAGAAAACTAGCAATAGAGGTAAATGACAAAAGGTACCTAATATAATGAGACATTCGAGGCATCATGGAAGGTACAACTTGACGCGGGAATGTTCTAACGAAGGACGTGCCTAGGCAATCCTGAGTAGGACAAAATGCATTGGGAGCTGAGAGAAATGACAATCAAGATTTGTTCTTAATAGATGAAACCGCGTATTCTGTTTTTCCGGATTTAAATCGCGTGTGTTTGTTTTTTCAAACAAAACGTCCCGTGGTCACGGTCAACCGTGACCCTGGGATCTGTAAAGAGCACGAAACGTTGGTTTGTTTGCAAAAAAAAATCTGTAATATATAAATATATAATAAAATCTTGTCATACCAATTCCAAGTACCAACACTGTATTTGCAGATAGGCAATACGACAAACGTGCGGCCAACATATACAACACTTTGAATATAAGGAATTAAAAATCTACAGCAAATTGTATTATGAGTGTAAAAAGAGTAATTATTTCGAAATGGATTGCGGGGAAAACATATGAAGAAGTTGAGGCTCTGCTTGATAAGCTTTTAAATATATGTATACATACATAGGTACACACACAGACACAGACACACACACAAACACAAACACACACACGATAATTTTAATATTTTTGTAATCTTGAACTATGTAATGAGAAATGTGTTTTGAGTGATTTGTTGGTTTATGTAATTTAATAAGTGTAGCGAATGAAGAGCGGTGCCTCCTGACACAGGCTATGCTTAAAAGGAGGCTCCAGCCACTATTGTTTAAGAAACCATACTTTTAAGAAATTATTATTTACTATTATTATTATTTTAAAAAATAACACGCGATTTAAATCCGGAAAATAGTTTCATTTCCTATGTGTAACAATCGCGAAAACTTAAGAACTCGATAGGTTAAATTGGTCAAAATTTCATTCATTTTCATTAACCCACTATTCGTCCCACTGTTGTGTAATGCGAGTCGGAGACCTTCGTCAATGTACTGGTTTCCTGACAATATTTTCCCTCACCACCGTTAGCTAGATTAATTGTTCACAAATTACATAACTTCCAAATTGAAGTCAATAGGTATATGTCGCCTCAGGGATTCGAACCATTGTCCTCTCGATTAACAAATAACCGTCCTCCCTCTGGCCTACCACTACTTTCGTTATACATGTTCATTTAATGTTAATAGAATAGAATAGAATAGAATACTTTATTTCAGGCATATACCCATATAATTTGTTAGTAACATTTTCACTTAGAATAGGTTAGTATACAGAACACAACAAACACAACACAATATTTACTTAATATATATAAAAACAGATTTGATTTGCCCAACCCAATATTTTAGAATTGGGCAATCAAATCTGCCTGCAACCATTTTTAGGATGCTGTTGTGACTACTTCTGACCCGCGTCATAAGCGATACTATTTTTTTCCGCATTATCGCCTGGAAGCCGTCTATTTGCGCCTCTGCGAACATTCCTGATGCACTGTACCATCTTGGTAGTCTCAACAGCATCCTGAAAGCATTATTATATTGGACTCGTAGGGCGCTGTAAGCTCGTTTCGTATACTTTACCCACAGGCCGCTCGAGTAAAATGATTGGCTGTAAGCTTTGAAGAGTGTAATTTTTACATCTATAGAGCATCTCGCGAACCTGCGGGTCAGCATATTGCATCTCACCGACAACGCCCTACGCTCCCTTTCAATATCTTGGTCATCACTTAGATCGTCAGTTAGTATATGACCAAGGTATTTAAATGTTTTTACAACTTTTAATACAACCCCGCCAAGAACGACTGGAGGTGTGAAATAAGGCTTAATTTTGCCTGCCTTAAAAATCATCACTTCACTCTTGGCCGAGTTGTACACTAAACCATGTGCATTACTGTACATTTCACACTTCTTTACAAGCTCCCTAAGTGCTCCGATAGACGGACTCAGCAGCACCATGTCGTCAGCATAGCTAATGTTGTTGAGGCAAAATTATTAATTATTAAAATTAATTTATTTAAACTTGACTGTATTATATTGTAACAACCTTACTACGTAAGACGCGAAGATCCTCAAAGGAGAAGTTTTAAATCTTATCCGACAGGCAGGTTTCATCAAGAAGATTTCACTCGTACCAAGTGGTTGTCAGTCATTTAAACAGCATGGGTTTCGAAAACATTCACTGCTGTAGAATTCCGCAGGGAGTAAAAAAATTATGTTTATTTCTGACAATTTATGAATTGTGAACTGAGAGGCTTCTCAGCCCTATTTATACAGTAAGGAAACGTCATGCCTGACCTAAAAGGAACTCTTGTAGGATCAAATGTCAAGTGGATATTTGGATCGGTCACGCGCTCATGTTATTCGTGAGCATCACCGGTAATATTGTTATCACGAACGAGCTATCACATGTAAAAAATAAAATTTTGAATTTGTTGCAGGATCGCGACAATCAGAAGTATCGACGGATACTTATTACGCGGGGTGCACTATAAGTTTCCGGAATGAATAAGAAAAAATACTATAAATGGTCAGAAATAAATTTATTGTTTCTCAAAATATTCTCCGTTAGCACTTTTTCATACGAATGAATCAATTTTGAAAACATTTATGCCACTTCTCCGTGACAATTTCTGAAACATATTTTTTATACTCTTCGACAGCCTCTTCAGGCGATGAAAATTGTTAACTGGTTCTTAATTACTGGAAATAAGTAAAAGTCACAAGATGCCAGGTCGGGACTGTACGCGGGATGGCTCATAAGGTCAACGTTGTTCACCTTCAAAAATTCATTTGTCTGTTTGGCCGTGTGAGAACTGGCATTATCGTGGTGTAAGATGATACGGCGTTTACGGTTATTTTTATGGAGTTTGTCAAAAACTTCCGGCAAACAAATGATCGTGTACCAATCACTAATCGTTGTACCGTGAATAATCATGGTACAACGATTCTCCAAAGCAAAAGTAGCCACTTGTCCAGTTTTATTAAAAAAGAAGCAATCATTCGCTTAGAGGCACTTTGCATGCGCGCCACTTTGGTTGGTTTCGGCTCATCCCGAAAAACCCATACGCTCGATTGCTGCTTTGTTTTGGGATCGTAACTATAAATCCATGTTTTGTCACCTGTTACTTAAGTCCCACAACAAATTTGACGCCCCTTCGTTGAATCTGGTAAGCATGGCATTGCACCAAGTGACGCGAAGTTTTTTGAGGCTCAGTCAAATAGTGTGGGATCCACCGAGAGCACAGCTTTTTCACACCCAAATGTTTGTGTAGTATTGATTGTATTTAACTCATGCCTATGCCTAAAGATGACCGAATCTCATGGTATGTCACATGTCTATCTGTTTTGATTATACGGCGCACGCATCGATTTTTTTGTTGTTCACAGCAGTGGACGGGAGATTCACACGATCGCGTTTGAATTCTGCAAATCAGCTATAAATAGTTGTCTTGTATGGTGCTTCATCGCCAAAAGCAGTTTGAAGCTGAGCGAAACTTCGCTGAGCTGTTAAAATACACTTACAGTCGTAGACAACATACTACGCCATTTTAATTTAGATCGAAATTCAGAGATATTTTCATATTCAAATTTGCTCATTGAAAACCAGGGCCACAGTCCAGTTATGGCTGTGGCATAAGCTGAATGAGGTACTTTTGCGTATGCTACAACCGCACAAATGACAGTACAAATTTGTGGCAGTTATATTTTGTTTATTGCTTTTTATCTGTTTTCCTTTACTTTTTTAGGTTTCATTTAGATTTTAATTGTTTCTATTTTCTTTTGTTTGTCTAAGTATAGTTAATCTCTTGTTTGTATCTATGCGTTGTGGCGTCGCAATAAATGTCTATTCTATTCTATTCTACATTTACGAAGACCAAAAATATGAAACGTATTATCAAACTATGTAAGCACTCCAGTTTCTTAAGCAGCTCTCGGATGCATTCAAATAACAAATACCAGCATAGTCGAGAAGAAGAAGTAATAACAACAGAGCGACCATAATCTGAAATTGAACGTCAAGAAAAATAAAAGCCGCTTGAGACAATTACAAGAAAAGTGCATATATTATTTTCATTTAGAATTATGAATTCGAATATTACTAACATAGTGTATTTTTCCAAATTGCAATTATTTATCTTAAGAAAGTAAGGATGTGTTCAGTGTTACATGACTCAGACATTTATACATTTCTCAAACGGTATTCTTCGTTCTTATCTCAGTTTTTGTCCTTTTCCGTTTGTCAGTCCGTATAACCTAATAGTCGGGGACAGGCGGTGGAGTTCATCAATATCCCAGCTCGTTACATGTCTATCGGGACGTCGTGTATTATGTAGGTTTTCGCACTTCCTTCGTCGCACCTGCGCCCATCGGTGACACATATCTTTTGTTTTTTCATCAAATTGATGCGACACTGTTATTTACGATACGAAAGTTCCGCAATGGGCACCTCCGAGAAAAAATTTATACGAACCTTTCGTGTGACAAATATCCACGGTCTTGAAAGATTGCCTGGGTACTTCAAAGGGATGAATTGTTATTGCTACCAGTTGGCAAATCTGTTCACGCACTACGTAGAACCGACTTGATTACCATTTGTATCTGTTAGTGTGTTTGAAGGACCTCAAGCATAAAATCTCAGAAGGGATATAGAGCGTTGGGGAGTCAGACGCGCTGCAGCGATTCAATCCACACCGCTTGTATAACATTCGGGCACAAGAAAGAAATGTGGCGCTGAACAATTATGAGAAGCTGTTAGGTAGGTCCGTCCGTATAGCAATGACGAATCTGACTCAAATGGAAAGAAGAAATGGTACTTACCTCAATCCAGACACGGAGTCAACCTGCGTGCCGTCGGGCAGCTGCCAAGCGAGCAGCGGCGGTGGGAAGCCGTGCGCGGCGCAGGCCACACGCGCGCCCGAGCTGTTCGAGAACAACAACCGCGGCGGCGGCTCCATCAGGAACACCGGCCCGTGCTCCTGGCCCTCGCCACCTGAACATAGCATAAAATTTTTATTTATATACCTACTCGTACTAGTAAGTACACCACAGCCCTCTTCTCGAAGCAGACAGAACAGACTGGACGTTTCGTATTCACTGTTACTGAACTACGAACGTTGAACATTGTTCGATGAAAGTCATTTTTAATAACCTATTAGCATTTCTAATAATTCTAAAACTATATCTTGCTATAACCGGATAAATCCATCCATAGCAGAGATAGCTTTTTGGAATCTATTAGCCCGTTTAGGTACATTCTATGCGCCACATGAGCCCGTTTGCATTTCAAATGAGCATTATATATTATAGCATCAGTCTGCTCCTACAGTGTTAGCGCAGTTGGCCCGAACCTAATTTGCCAAATTTCGATTTAAAGTGACACTGACGAGACAACCGCTTTGATTGAGTTATGTGGTATAGTTTCATATTAGCCTATTGGCTTGTGTCAAAATTCAAAATGGCGTTGTGAAATGATAATGCAAAGACAATCGAATTTGTTTATTTTTTGTATTTTTTAATTAAGTGACATTAAACAAAGGAAACATTACACCAAATGTGCTTGATTTAGAAGAAAAAATAGAATTATAAGAGAAAAAAAAAAACAACTAATTCTACCGTACTCAATAACACCATCCTCTGATATTATTGAGTATAGTTGGTATATCCGACCAGCACTACGAATGCATAAGAGGCCACGCTGGCTGCACTCAAAGAAATTGAATATTTTTAAATTGTCACATTGACTTTTGAATGCAATATTTTAGATGTTAGCATACATAGACCTTTGGCAAAACTTTGTGTTGTTCTTGAATGTAACTTGTTCATCAAGTGCTATAATTTTGCGTCGAATATTTCCAAACCTATTACCATTGAGCAAACTGTGACCTCACACGCAAAGGGAATAGCTGGCTAATTGAGGAAGCACTGTGTAATTGTATCTTGTATTGAGTGTTTGCCTTGAACGGGCAGCCAATCAAAGTTGGTGCTCAATACTAGTTACATATTAATATTGTGATTAATAATAGTAATAAATGATGTCGAACACGTCTTCGAGATTCAATTTCTCTTTGCTCATTTGTTCTGGTTTTAATTGTTTCATTTGAAAACTTAAGTAACGCATTTAAGTAGTACCCCAGTAATGCATGAAAAATTAACTAGTTAAAAACAAGCACAGTCTCAGTGGGTGCTTAATTTCCTTGGAGTTTTGCAGATCGATAGTATCGTGCCAATTTCATCAACCCATTTATACGTCCCAATGCTGGACATGGATCTCCTTTTAGTCGAGGATTTAGGCCATAGTCCGCCACTCTGGTTCAATGCGGGTTCGGGACTACACACGTTTTCCAAGGTTGGTGAACCTTCTTCGACATGCAGATTTAACTACAATGTTTTCCTTGACCGAAAAGCTCACGGTAAATTTCAAATTAAATTTCGTACATAAATTCCGAGAAATTCAGAGATGCGAGGCCGGGATGGAAACCACGGCCTCTGATTCAGAGGTGGTAGGCCAACCCATTGGGCTACCACGGCTCTTCATACCGATCTGTTGATATGTAATTTATAAAAATCCGATTGTATTTACGTTATAATCGTACTGCAAATGTTTTCACGACACTGGTGCAGTATGTTCTATATTATAAATACTGTTATCTACGCGCTCTAAAGCCATATTGTTATTTATTTATTGATTTTTATTGAATACCATGAGCGTATTCATTTTATATGTTGTGTAATCACTTTAATAGTTTGGTATGATTAATACAAAGAGCGAACACAAATAATAATTTGTTCAGTCTGACGGGACTCGAACCTGTGTTTGTATGCCAACAAATTGCAACATATATTCGCATGTATTTGTTTTTGAAACAAACCAACGTTACGGGCTCGTAAACGGTAAACCAATAAACCACTTATATGTAATATTTAGTCTTTTATTCTAGTGGTTTCGACCCGAACAAACACTTTCATTCCCACTGTGCTGAACAGTGGGAAGTATCAAGAATTGAGGGAGGCGGGAGCGTCGAAGCGTTTGAACTGTTAAGTAGTAGGTACATTACTGAATAACCTACTGCGGACACGTATCTTCTTTAATTTCTGGAAGACCAATTGAAAAGTTTACTCGCTAAAACTTTCTTTATGTTTGGAATGAAATAAAATCTTTATGAATATTAGCAATTAATTTCTTAAATTGATATTATATTATATGATATTATAAATAATTTCAATTGTAAACAAACCTACGAAGGCCACTGCTCTAACACATACATATTATTATTTTTTCAATTGGAAATGATCTCAACAGATTTGATTCGCATTTTTGATGATTATCAAAAGTAACACTACTTTCATTCAGATTTAATTTTTTCTAAATCTACTTGCCTTTTTTATAAAATATAAGGTTTTGATCAATGCGGGAGATATTCTTAGACAAATAAAATTATCGAATAGCCCTTGAATAACTGAAAATGAAAAATAGCGTAAGTTTGTAAAACCATGGGTATGTTGACGAATATTTTCTGAATCGCCGTCGGCTGATACACTGCCGCCTGTCTAGATTACTGTAATTAATGATATCGAAAACGTGAAAGGTAAGCGTATAAACAAATTGTTACTAGTTTACAATCTTTTCAGGCAAATACATCTTTATGTTGGTGAAAACCAACGATACCTATGTACTGAAAATTTTATCAATTTATAAATATTAGGGGTTAAAGTATGAAATTGCCGTTTTATTGCAATAGGTTCTTTGAATTTTCATAGAATCTTCATGGTTTGAGGTTTTCGAATGAAACTTTTTTCAAATGGTTTCTGTGATTTTTTTTTTTTTAAATTTGAAACATTTGAATGTCGACTTTCAATTGTTTTTGTTATTCAATTTAGACAAGAAAGATGGA